GATTGAAGGCAAGAGGAGAGGGGGATGACAGAGGATGAGATGGTTGGATGGCATCACCGACTCAATGGACATGAGTTTGAGTAAACTCCAGGAATTGGTGGTGGACAGGGAAGCCTGGCGTGCTGCAGTCCATGGGGTTGCAAAGAGTCAGACATGACTGAGCAACTGAACTGAACTGAACTGAGCAACTAACACATACAGACATACACACAAGGAGGCAGAGACCTGTGCTCTGAAAACTATAGGATCCTGATGAAAGAAACTGAAGACGACACAAACAGATGGAAAGATATACCCCGTTCTTGAATCAGAAGAATCAATACTGTCAAAATGACTATACTACCTAAGGCAATCTACAGATTCAATGCAATACCTGTTAAATTACCAGTGGTATTTTCCACAGAGCCAGAATAAGGATTTTTAAAATTTTTCATGGAAACATAAAAGACTCCAAATAACCAAAGCAATCCTATGAAAGCAAAATGGGGCTGGAGGAACCAGGCGCCTTGATTTGAGACTATACTACAAAGCTACACTAATCAAAATAGTATGGTAGTGGCACCCACAAAAAAAGAAGTATAAATCAATAAATCAAACAGGACGGAAAGCCCAGAAATGAACCTATGCACCTATGGTCAATTAATCTAAGTCAAAGGAGGCAAGGATATATAAGGGAGAAAAGACAGTCTCCTCAATAAGTGGTGCCAGGAAAACTAGACAGCTGTATGTAGAAGAATGAAATCTGAACATTGTCTAACACAATACACAAACTCAAAATGCACTAGCCATCTACATGGAAGACCAGCTGCTATAGAATTTTAAGAGGAAAACATAGAATGCCCTTTGATGTAAATCACAGCAGTATCTTTTTAGATCCACCTCCTAGAGTCATGGAAATAAAAACACAAATAGACAAATGGGACCTAATTAAACACAAAAGCTTTTGCACAGCAAAGTAAACCATAAACAAAATGAAAAAAAAAACCACTCAAATAATAGAAGAAAATATTTGCCAGTGAGGTGACCAACATGGGATTAATCTCCAAAACACACAAATAGCTCATGCATCTCAGTATCAAAAAAAACAAACAACCCGATCAAAAACGGGCAAAGACATTTCTCCAAAGAGGACATACAGATAACCAAGAGGCACACGAGAATATGCTCAACATCGCTAATTACTAGAGTAATGCAAATCAAAACCACAGTGCAGTATTACCTCACACCAGTCAGAATGGCCAATGGCCATCATCAAAAAGTCAACAAACAATAAATGCCACAGAGGGTGTGCAGAAAAGGAACCCCTCCTACACTGTTGGTGGGAACATAAATTGGTACAACCACTGAGAACAGTATCGAAGTTCCTAAAACAAAAAAACTAAAACTAAAAATAGAGCTACCATATGATCCAGCAATCCCACTCCTGGGTGCATATCCATAGCAAACTGCATTTTGAAGAAATACATGTACCCCAATGTTCATTGCAGCTGGTAAGTCTCCCTTCAGGAGCTCTCTGAGCTCAGAGAGGATTTCCTTTCACGCAAATGGCACATTCGCTGTTGTTCCATTTGGCACTATTTACTATATCTTTACAACATTAACCCATGGGGATCCAGGCAACAACAGGGATTTCTATAACCAGGTAACACTTAAAAAAATATATATTCCCACAAGATCATCTCAATATACACAGAAAAAGCATTTTATAAAATCCAACATCTATTCATAATAAAAAAATCTCACTAAAGTAGGTATAGAAGGACTATATCTCAGCATAATAAAAGTTATTAATATTTATGGTAAACTCACAGCCAACAAATAAACAGTAAAAAGTTGAACAGTAAACAGCTGAAAGCCTTCCCACTAAACTCAGGAATAAGACAAGGATACCCACTCTCACCACTTCTATTCAACATTGGTTGGAATCCCTAGCCACAGAAATCAGACAACAAAGAAAATAAAAGGTATCCAAATTGGAAAAAAGGTAAAACTGTCACTATTTGCAGATGACAAGATACTCTCTCTATACAAAATCTCCACATAAAAACTATTAGAATAAATGAATTTAGCAAGGTAGCAGGATATAAGATTAACATAGGGAAATCTGTTGCATTTCTTTACACTAACAATGAAATATCAGAAACAGAAAGTAACAACCCTGTTTAAAACCATGTCAAAAGCAAACAAAAAACAACTTAGGGATAAACTTAACCAAGGAAGTGAAAGACTGGTATGTTGGAAGCTATCCTACACTGATAAAGGAAAGTGA